TGATCACCCGGTCAAAGGTGATTTTTGACTAGGTCAAAGTTCAGCAATCATCATGTAGGAATCCATGATGATCTCAGGTCAAAGAGCTTAGTGATATAGTTACATAGCTTATGAGTTGTACCATACAACTTCCTTATAACAGGTCCGTCTAGCACCTTGTACTCTTTCAAGTGCCTACGACTTTAATTTATATCTTTATAATTAATTCAAATCATACTAGTCTTGTTTCATCTATAATCCTTCATAGATGATCAACTAGGAACATTTATGACAATCACTATAATTTATCCAAGGATACAGTTATCATATTGAACATATAATTACTATGATGTCAAAAGAAAAATTTATCAAATAACCATGTTTATTGTACAATGATTGGCCCTAGGGCACAATGTCCAAACACCAACCTAGGCCTCCAGTGTTTTCCCAACTGGACATGTTTCTGTAAAAATGTTAACCATAGAAAATGAGACAAAAAAGTCTCAATAACCATAATTAATATACAATAATGCATGTAATGTAATTAACCATGTATTTGCTAAGTGAGCATATTAAAACAAGTTTTCAAACACAATTTATCCAAAGAATCCAAACAAAAATGCATGATACACTTTATATCCCTCCTTACCCCATGCCTGAAACCAACAAACCATGCAAAAGGTAAGTTTATCCAAGTTACGTGCCACTCATTAGGTCTAATGAGGATACCATATGGTATATTATCCCTAAATAAAAATCCCCAATATGCATATATTTCAAATCCAACAAGTCATACATATTATAATATATTTGAACAAGAAAACATATCTGAATACTTTTTCATGCTTTTAAACATATAATTTCATACCAAACAATATATGTGTATGTATAGCATCCCACTAAACAAATAATTTTCCAAACACAATTTAATTTCCAAATATATCAAAAACACATATAGAAATTACAAAATCACACATTAATAATTGTTGCATTTTAGCTTGTCAACAAATTCTCCTTTACAATACCATCTTCACCACACTCTTAGTCAATACAATCTATACAATTATCTTATAATACCTATGTATTAATTTCACATTTGAAATCAATAAGTAATTCTAATTATAGAGTTAGAAAGTCTAGGCCTAATCCACTATTAACATTAAATTAAGGTTAACACCAATTTTAACCATTCCACACTTCTCTCTAAAATTCTTATACACTAATTAACTATAATTAAGTCTCAAGTCATTTCTAGTATTACAATTTTATCAGTCCATATTCCTAAGTTTGTCCAAAAATACCTTGAAAAATTAAAAATTATTCTCAAGCTTTAAATAATCATTTCAAACCTTTAGAAACATCTTTCCCGTTCTCAAATAAACATCTAAACACCAAAAATTCATCTCAATGATTTAGATTTAACATAAACTCAATCATATAGAACTATAATTTAACTTAAAATTCCCTAATTCAAAATTTTAACCTTAAAAGAATGTTCTATAACATTTATTATACTTTCAACAATATTAACAAATATAATAAATTATCATAACTTCAAATTGTCTACCCCGTAAGAAAACTGTAGTTTAAAAATCATCCTCAAACTCAAAGAAAAATAGTTAGAATGGAAGAGGGAAAGGAAAGAAACTTAGCTCAAGGGGTTACAAGGTTCAAATCCAGCTCCAAAGCTCCAAAAAATCAAGCCTTAGGAGAGCAAAATCGCCTCTCTATGTTTCCTCTCCCTCTCTCATGTTATGATTTAATTTTCGTAATAGGAACTTTTATCTTTGTTGTCAACCGCAACTAGTCCTGGCCAGTGCATTTCACAATCATGGATGGTTGAAGCCACTTAGTTTGCCCTCTCTGTTTAAAATCGCAGATGGTTGTACCACGTACTAAGTTCAACCACGGACGATTCTAAACAGAATTACCATATACGTTCTAATTCAATACTAAACCTCAACTTAATCACTTTAAATCCCACACAACCAACACGCTTAGATCCCTAGTTATTTATTAACTTCAATAAACCTCAAATTAACATGATTCCCTCATTAAAATCCTATATTAAAAATTAGGATGTTACATTTCTGACCAACCAACCTCCAGGCATACTCAACGATCGGAAGCCGAACCACTCTTTCAAGCTACCTTTTTCAAGGATGATAGCGTTGGTGTCTCTCAACTTCTTCACCACGAAGGCGTCTTGAGCCATGACGGGCATAATCCCCACCTTGCCCGACGCCCTCGTCGTTGCCTCCCTGCGCCAGAAGTGTCGTCAGCTTTTCTTCAGCGAAAGGCAGGAGCCCAGTGTAGACGTGGAGGATGGCACCTCATGTCTGATTCGTTTGGAGGAAAGAGGGAAGGATGATGACGTCATCACCTATGGGACGTTTCGAAATCCGATTCATGAAGAGTGTTTGGTGAAGTGGAAAAGAAGCAGGGGACGGAGAATGTCTAGTTAATTGTGTGACTTGTAAGGCAAGATCAAGGGGCACGAATGACCACCATCAGTATCTAAATCTCTCTGCTTACATTATAATCGTGGCGTAATGCTGCAGATAATAAGCAGACGACGTAACTCGGCGTGCTTCAACAAACCCCTGTGAGGAATAACTATCGATGCCTTGTCTGAATCTCATTCCAATCAAGAAACAGAGCAACAAATAATCTCATCCAAAAAGAGCAAAAGCCTCAATTGTGACATAAAGAAAAGCTTATTCTCTTCAACATCTGGCAGCTCTATCCTTAGGGAACCAACGAGAGATGGGGCGGGGAGCCAGAGCGGGAGCGAGAGAGGGGTATGTATATGCATGAAATGAACATAGTACAGCAGCGATGGGAGAGAAGGGGACGAGAAGAAGAGTTAGATAAGAAGGCCAGCGTGCATGTAGGTTCCCCACCTGAAAAGTAACAGCTATTTTTTGATATTCAATGTTAGGGGGTTAGGTGTTAGGAATATAAAAGTTAAAAAAATTTACATAACAATATATGAGTTTAGTGTCTATTATGTTATTTAGGCAAAAGTTTAAGGCTGCTCATTTACTTTTATTTCTATTGAAAAGAACATAGATGTACCGTATTTGGGGAGAATTCAATAGCCTATTTTATCAAAAAGAATTCAATAACCTGTTAGAACTAAATTGACGCAATTTGATCCCAAACAATCAAAACAATTAATATTTTTTCGTATGAAAATAATTTTAGTAATTAAAATAATACTCATGTTTGGATTTTCAAAAATCATAAACAAATGTGTAAGAATATAATAAAGATAATTACAAGAAAAACATTAATTTTCCATCAATATAATACAATCAAAAAAGTTCCATTAATATTGAATTTAACTATTCACGACTGAGATAATATTTTTAAAATTTGACAACTTTGATTTCTCTATTTGCTAAGAATGCACTTGCTCACTAGAGATTTAAATCAATATGCAATTACTTTATATTTAAGAATTTAAGTCAAAAAATCTTATTTTAATGACTTTTCCCGTACCACTTCCCTTTGTCGACTATTGGCTTTTAAAGTCTTTTTTTCCGATGCAAAATTATAGAAGGTTTTTGTAAAAGTAAAAATACCATATCATATCAAAATATAAAAGATTATGGCACATTGAAAATAGAATGTCTAAGTTTTTATATATAAATATTTATTAGAAATTTTGTTTGCTTCATTAAACATATGATTAAAAGTGATTATCTACTTTCTCATAGTACCCTATAGTGGTGGAACTAAGCTTGGTTGAACTAGGTTTAAGCCAAATAGGCCTAAGCTTATATGGTATGTCAGAGGCCTAAACTTGATTTATATAATGCTTTTCTTACGGCTCACGCCTTAGCATAACTAAAGTTTAACCTGATCTAAAAACTTATTTAAAAGCTTACTTAAAAATAAATCATTTAAATAAGCTCACATTTTAATTTTAGATGTCGCAAATCTACTTCAGGATTATTAGTATAAATATACATGATTTATCAATTTTAATATATAATGATTAAAATGACTTATCAGTTACAATACAATACAACAATGAAGTAACTATTAAAATTAATATATAAATCCAATTTGATTTAAAATATAACTAAAAATAAAAAACATAAATTGATTAAAAATTAAATTGTAAAACTAGTGTGCATGCACGTGTGTACATGTAAATATATGTAAGTAAGTCAACTTGTTAGGTTTGCAGGCTAAACCTTAAAAAATTAGACCTAACCTAATCAACTCAATTGGGCTAATTAAAGGCCTGAATGTAACCCAAAACTATTTAATAAATAAGTTAGGCTAGATATAAAATAAGCCATGACATATGCCTCAGATAACAGCCCGACCCATTCCTGCCCCTCCCTAATTGGGGATGGTTATGAGAAAACAAATCTTTAATCTATTGTAAACCATGCAAGTCAACTTTACAGCACCAGCACTCTCACAGACCATTCATAAAGGTACAATCCCGCAAACAACTGACAAACTCACTCATAAAGTATAGATTACATCCAAAGTTCCCAATCATAATTATGCCTATTATACTTGTTCGCCCAACTATGCAAGGAATAGCCTCTGATTGCTTGTTTTGATTCACAGAAAGCACCCGTCAAAAACCCTGCTGGTGAATTTTTTTTTTCCTTTTTTAACAGGAAATCACCGAACGGGGTTAAAAAGAACGATTACATGTGATGAAGCAGCTAAAATATTATATTAACATTGACCAAGGGCAACAGCAACATCACTGACAAACTGATAAATTTAAGCAGGCAAAAAATTCAACTACAATATGTTTTTAGCATTTAGATACAATACAATAGTCGAATGTTCCGATGTTACAGTCAGACGCAACCAACGTAAAGGCGCAGCAGGGACAAGAAACCGTCTCCTGTTGCCTCATACAAAGTAGGATAATTGAAGGGCATTCGGCAGATAGTAGCATAACTGTACCGAAACCAAAATAAATCTACAGATAGCAATCGGTTCTCCTTTCCGGTTTTTAAAAATTTGACCACTACGCAGATAGATAGTTCAAGCAGGCAAAGCCAAAGCTATCATTCCAACACGAACAGCAATCAATGATGTAGGCATAACACCAGTCCGAGAACTGGCAGAATATTCTTTACAAATTTGAACTTCACTGCATGCATTTTTGCCTCCCAAAATAAAATTATGATGTTACAAGCAATGACAGTACTCATTTATTGCACACGGAAATCATGTTTCATATATAGTCATCAGCCACTCAAAGAAACTGTCTTCCATGGATACGACAGTTCGTAGTAAACACTTAACTATTCTACTCGTTATCTTCTGAATGGCATCTTCGGCCTTTTATAGTTTTCTTCACCTCCCTTCCCATTCTTGAATCATCCAGATCACTTGAATCAGCATCAGTTGATGATTCTGCCTTCCTAGTTCTCCGTCTATGTCTTCTCCCAGAATCCTCAGATGTTTCAGAATCAGAATCTGATCGACAGCTTCTCCTTCTCCTCTTCTCCTTCCGACTCTTTCTTCTGTGCTTACGGTCATATTTCTCATCTGAAGACTTGCCCTTCTTCCGCCTGTGCTCCCTCCTCTTCCTCCTCCTTAAATCTGAATCAGAATCACTAATTTCTCTCTTCCCATGCCTACTTTTTGATCTCCCTCTCTTCCTCCTCTTGCCAGAGCCAGAGTCAGACTCATCTTCATCAGAGTCCTTCCTTTTTCTTGAAGAACCTCCCTTTTTGCTAATTTTCTTCCCAGACCTTTCCGCAATAATTCTCTCAATCTCTGAGTCTACCTCAGAGTCTAAACTCCCACTATTGTCCTCCTCATCACTCCCATCTGAGCTCTCAACAGCACTTCTTTCAATCTTTGCTGCCCTCCCCTTCAATTTATCCAGCGCAATCAATGCTGGAACTTGCATAGCTTCTGCATCCTTTTCCTCATTGTCATCCTTGACCTTTACATAGTTCTTACACTGAAACTTGAGGTGCCCAACACGCCCACACTTCTTGCAGGATCCTCGATCCACATCCACATTAGAATTTGATATTTTAGCAAGTGCAAGGAGTCCTTGGAAGTTGGCGTATGCATTTTCAGCATCTGGTTCTGCATTCACTTCTCTCTGTGAAGTATCCTTCTTGTCTTCCTTGTTGGGTGCATATGGATCATAACCAATAGCACTCTGCCATATACCATGGGTTTGAAGGGCTGCACTACTGTGAACCCGATTGTTTGCAGGCATACGAACTCTACCCGCAGTAGCCGGCATCTTGAAATTTTAATATTGATCCCTGTGAGAAACAAACCACAATTCTCAGGAGATTTAACAAAAATCCAGAACTAAACCATGGGCGAACCTATACTACACTTAGTGGGGGAAAATCTTTGAATTATGCATAGTTGATACAATACCAACTTAATTTTTGCTCCAGACACTTTGACACACATCAGATACCTTAAGAATTTTCCAAAATTGATGATAATATAAAAAGATTAATAAAAAGAATGCACAGAATGCCAATACACAACAAATCCAACATTGCAAAACAACACAATCCTAATCATAGAAGTTGCTAGTAGTCAAAATGAAGAGGGAAGAAGTATAATAGCCAATTACTCACCATTCAAGCTAAAACTAGTACCGAAAAATAAATAAATAAATAAACTCCACATGTAAATATTCCCAAAGAATATTCTCAGGAGATTTAACAAAACTCCAGAACTAAATAATTGTACAATCAGAACCATTCTGCCAAAGAATATCTCATTTATTGAACCGAGCCAGAAGCCTAGGTACCTTGAATGCAATGACAAAGGCTCCATTACAAAGACATGGAATGGAATTACACGAATAAGGAGTTATTGCCACAATCAAGAGTTACTACAACAGGATTCAAATTAACAATAAAATTACCCATTCTGAATCAAACTCATATATGCAATCGATCATAGAAATCAACAAACTCTAAACCCAAAGCTGGAAGAAAACAAACATGACGCAAATTGAAGCAAAAAAAAGCGTCAGACAAATTAAACCTAAAATCAAAACGATAAATTCCCAATTTTACAATCTTAAGAAAGTTTGATAAAAGCATGATTAACAAATTAGTAAAGAAAGATTTAACATAATAACCAGCGATCTACATCAAACAGAGACAGAGGATTTCAGAAAAGAAATTAGGGCATGAGTGATCAGATCAAAAGAAAGCAAAATGGGAAAGGGGAAAGATAAATGCATATATGGAACAAAGGCAGAAGAGGGAGCCAAATACTTGCGGAAAGAACAGAGATCTGAACACCAATGAATGAGAACGACGCCGAGAGACAAAGAGACAGAGAACGGCGAGCGTGACCGCCCGAGAAGGCACCTGCGACTTGCGATGGCGATAAATAATATGTGCGACCGTGGGCAGCGTGCTCCCAGATCGATAGGGTCCTTTGGATTACATGCGGCGCCCTCGGCATCAAAAGTAAAACAAGATGTAAATTAGAATAATATATTTATATACTTTTAACTATTTAATTAATTAGTATATTTTATCTAATTAAATCTTATTAGAGTGAGTGAATTTTAAAGAATTAATTAATAATATTAATAAAAAAATTTATAAATAATACATAAATAAATTTATATACCTTGATTTGATTAAACACAATCACTTAAAGTCTCATTTGTTTCGAATTAAAAAAATATGTAACTTTTATATAATTTAAAGGGTTAGTGCAATTTAGACTTTCCATTATAAGTTCAAGGACCATTTGAATCTCAAATTTTAAAAAGGTATATTATGAATCTAAACAATTAAAATTGAAGTAATTTTACCTCTATCGCTAACTTTCAATGAATGTTCATTAAACTCATTTGGAAAAAAGTGCACTTTAAGCCTCCATTTGATGAACATTTGTTGAAAGTTAATGGTAGAGGTGAAATTGCCCCAACTTTAATTTTTTAGGGTTCAAAATATACTTTTTTAAAAGTTTAGAATTTAAATCACTTATGGACATATAATTTAGGGTTCAAATTACATATAAACTCATGGTAATATTACAAATTTCTCAAGACATGAGAAGAAGGAATAAAAAAAGGTAAATGATGATGATGATGATGATGATGATGATGATGATGATGATGATGATGATGATGATAAAACTATATAAAAAAAGGCTGTAGATTGTAATAATGAGTAAAACAGTTTTTGGTAAAGATTATGATTGGATATGAATGAGACGGTGTCGAGTTAATTATTTTTGTTCTTGCTAGGTGGGATTTTGGTAGGCTATCAGTGGCAGCAATGAGAGCGTAGCATAATCTTTCACTATAAGCACATTTTTATATTTTTTTTTCTGTTTGTTCTTTGGCATAATGGAATTTCATAATAATATTGATTGAAAAAAATATTATCATTCTTTGTTAGGAAAAAATCTAAAATAAATTCTTCTTCATATACTTTTTTCTCCATCTCTTTACTTATCAAAAAAGCATTTGGTTTTATTTTATAAATTTTCATCTTTTTTGATCAATTCAAACCAAAAAACTTACACATTCCTTCAAAATCTTTTTAAAAATTGATATAATATGCAAAATACACTTTTTTTAGTTACTATTGAATTATTATTGATTAGAGTGCATTTTTTAAAATATAAAAAGGCTAATATGTAATTTAAACCTTAATCTATAGGTCTAGGAGCGATTTGAATTTTAAACTTTTAAAAAGGTGCATTCTGAACCTTAAACAATTAAAGTTGAGACAATTTTGCTTCTACTGTTAACTTTCAATAAACGTCTATTAAATTGGGGCATAAAATGTAATTTTTTTCAAATGAATTTAATAGTCGTTTGTTGAAAGTTAACTATAGAGATAAAATTGCCTCAATTTTAATTATTTAAAGTTCATAATATAGTTTTTTAAAGTTTAGGGTTCAAATCATCCCTAGACCTATAATTTAAAGTCCAAATTACATATTAACCCCAACTTAAAAATTATATAAAATATTTTATATAAAAAGATATTTATTTTATAGAGATTTTATGAAAATAAAATTTTATTTAGGTTATATTTATTTAAAATTAAAAAATAAGTTATTTTTAGATAGTTTAAAATTTTTATAGAAAGTGTTTTATTTTATAGAGATTTATGAAAAAATAGATATTATTAGTTAATTATATTTGTTTAGAATAATAAAAAAATAATTACTATCTCAGTTAAAAAATGTAAAGCATTTTTAACCGAATCTCACCCCCGATAAAGTAGTTATCTACTTTTAAATTAATTTTATCTTTCATATTTACCTCTATTAAACACCCTATAATAAATATAAAGTCATTCATTAATAAGGATACTTTTTTAAAAAAAAAAAAACAATACTTATACCTTAAAAGACTAAAAATGCCTTACAGTATTTAATATCTTACTCCTTAAAAAATATCTTATAATTTTAAATGAAAAGAGTATTAGTTAATTATTTTTAAATTTTATAATATTTTTCTTAATTTAGATTTTATAAAAATAAATTATTTGTTAATTATTTTAAAATTTTAGGATATCTTAATGTGCTTTATATTTTTAAAACATTTTCTTACATCTACGGCATCAAATTGTTTTTAGAAATTACTCAATATAACTTTTTAAAATAATTAAAAATTTATTTTGTAGATTTTGATTATTTTTAAAATTTTAAATAAACACCATAAAATCTCACAAAATATATTTTTTATAAAATAAACTAAAATAAATAGGTACTTCATAAAAAAAGATTTAGCAGCCATGTATTTGAGAATAAATTTTTTTATGTAGTTTAGTTATTTAAAAAAACAATTTTCTAGATATTTTATAAAATAAATATTATTTTATATTTGGTTACAATAATAAAAATTAATTATTTCTTTTTAAAATTTATAATATTTTCATAGATTTTTTTTATAAAATAATTTATTATTTAATTATTTTAAAAATTTATTCATGTTTTTATGATATTTTTTCTTATCAATGGATTAAAATATTTTTTAAACTACTCAAACTAACTTTTCAAATTAAAAAAAATATAATTTTTTAAATATAATTATTTTTAAAAGTATGAATAAAACACTATAAAATATCACAAAATATATTTTTCAAAAAAGAATAATTGAATTTTTCATCCAAAAAAAAAAGCTAAACAAGGGGCCTTATTTTATAGGGATTTTGTAAAAAAATTAAATATTATTTTATATTTAATTACAACAATATAAAATTTTGATTATTGAATTATTTTTAAATTTTATGTCCCCTTTATGAATCTCTATTTATTAAAATAATTTATTGTTTAGTTATTTTAAAATTTTATAATACATCGTATATCTTCACATTTATATTATTTTTTTATTTATCTCATTAGATTATTTTTAAAAGATATTCATAATAAATTTTCAAAATAATTAAAATATGCTATTCCTTTTTAGATTCTAATTATTGTTAAAATTTTAAATAAACAGATTTTAAATATATCAAATTATCAGAATCTGATCTCATTGGTAGATAAGGGATAATAGAATAAAAATAAGTGGTTTTTTTCATTAAAAAAAGAAAGAAAAACTTAAACAAACTGATTTTAAATACATCATATTAAGTGTACACTTTCTCCATTTAAAAATATAAGACATTTTTAATTAAATCTCATTTTTCAATAAAGTAATTACTTGCATTTATACTAATTTTATCTTTTTATATTTACCTCTATTTTAAAAGGTATTTTACCTTAAAAAAATATAAATTAATTTATTTAATAAGAATACTTTTGAAAAAAAGACAATGATTACATTTAAAAAGATTAAAATTTTTTTATATTTTTAAATATTCAACCCTTAAAAAAATATTTTGTATTTTTAAACAGAAAAAATATGTATTTTTTATTTTGAAGAAACTATGATGTAATGTCACAGAAATTTGTCAAAGATCAATTTCTTTCAAATGCTCCTGACTCAAGTGAAGTCCCAATTAATATATTGTTGAAAATAACGATGGGGAGATAGCGATATAGTTATCTTATGTTTCAAAAGATTGGATAACTCTTTGAATAATTTGCATAAAGATCCATTAAAAAAGAAAATGGTCATACGTACACCTCCATATCGAACTACTCTTCCTATTATTAATGTGAGAAAAAAAATAAAACAGAAAGTCAATTTTTTGATAAACATAAAAGAATAGAAATAGTTTTATGTTATGTTTGAATACACATGGATTTGAATTTAAATTTGAACCAAATTCATTATTTGAATAATTAAAAATGTATGAATTTGATTTGACCCAAATTTAAATCCAAGTTCTCCCTTAATCTCTTTATAATTTAAAATCATTTTTAAACTCCTATTATTTCAAATTCTAACTCAAGCTTTTTTGTAATTTGACTCAAATGTATGAAAGCTTGATCAACTTGCCAATGGTAAATGGACTGAACCATCAAAGTTGACGAAAACAAGCTGCCACCATTGACTGGAACAAGACGACTGACTTCCACCGAGACCAAATCGACTGCGATGACAGGGACGGCACAACTGACTTCCATTGAGATCGAATCGACGGTGATGGTGGGGACTAGACCAACAGGGATGAAGGGGACCGAACAGTAGACTCCCACTAGAACTGGACTAATGGCTTCCACCGAGACCAGACTGACGGCTATGACGGTGACTCAATTGACGGAGTTAGGGATGATAGGGATCAAACAATTGACTTCCAACAAGACCAGATCGATGACTATGACGGGGACCAAACTGATTAGGATGATGGGGATCAGACGGCCAATTTCCACAAGGATCAAACTAATGACTATGACAGGGATAAGATTGACGATGACGATGGGGATAAGACTGACAACGACGATGGGGACCAGATGGCTGACTTCTACTGAGACAAGATTGACTGGCATGACAAGGATTAGACGGCCAACGCCCACTGAAACCAGGCTAAGGGATACTACTGGGACAGGACTAACGGGGAAGATGGGGACCGAATGCACGACTTTCACTAAGATCAAATCGATGGGGATAACATGGATTAGATGACTGAATTGCACTGAGATCGGACTGACGCTGACGACAGTGACTAAACGGCCAACTTCCATCGAGATCGAACCAACGGCGATAACAAGCACCTAATAGCTGACTTCCATCATGACCAAATTGACTATGATAGGCACCGGACAGCCAACATCCACCTAGACCGAATCGACGACAATGACCGAGACAGGATGGCAGACTTCTACCGAGATCAAACCAATGATGATGACAGACACCTACAATGTAGGTGGAATTCGACCATCCAGTCCCTGTAGCTGTCGATTCGATCTGGTTTCGATGGAAATCAGTCTTCTAGGCCCCGTTGTCATTGTAGGTCCGGTATCGGTGGAAGTCAATCGTGCGGTCCCTATTATTAGTGTCAGTCTAGTCTCGATAGTACTCGACCGTCTAGTCCCCATCATTAGCGTCAATCTAGTCTCAGTGAAATTCAGCCATTCGATCCCCGTCATTGATGTTGGTTTGGTGCCGATGGTAGTTAGCCGTTTGGTGCCCATTGTAGCTGTTGGTCTGGTCCTAATGAAAGTCGACCATCCTATCACTGTCGTCGCAGTTGGTCCAATCTTGGTGGAAGTTGACTGTCCAATCATTACCGTCGCCGTCGATCCAATTCCAGGGGAAGTCGGCCATCCCATCCTAATCATCACCAGTGCCATATTCTTAGTCGACTTTGTTTGTCTGATCCCATTAGAAGTTGGCCATTTGAATCGTCGAGTTTGACTAATCTTTCAAGTTTCTTTTAAATTCAAATATAAAATATAAAATTTTATTTAAATCCAAAGAAAGAATTTTAATATTATAATTTAAAATTTTTATAGTATCCAAACAGAATTTAAAATTTATAAATTTCAATTGTGAGATTTCAAATGAGATTTTAAATCGAAATTTCTAACTTAAATCCACCTATCTAAATACAACCTTAATTTTTTTTAATTTATTAATCCACTCATGCAAAAATTTATTGAAAAATGTCCATCCATCCCATAAAATAGGCCCTCATGAGTCCTACTCATTTGATTATATTAATATTACTAACATTATTCAACAATCACCATCATTTTTTTCTAGGGTTAAGGTGCAATTTTACTTTTAAACTATTCTTAGAGAAGCAATGTTACTCCTAAACTATTCATCATGATAATGTTCCCCCTAAACCAATCAAATCAAAGTAATGTTGTCTCTATCGTTAAAACATCCGTTACTGTAGCTCGTGAGACTCACTTTTCATGAGTTAAGATGTAATTTTGCCTCTAAACCATTCTCAAAGAAACAATATTGCCCTCACCTTTTAAAAATCATAAAATTAAATAAAAAGAAAATTATAATAATATTAAATAAAAATAATATTAAATGTATATATAAAATAAATATAAGAAAAAAAATTTACACTCCCTCTATTCAAAAATGTAAGGCATTTTTAACCGAACCTCACCCCCAATAAAATAGTTATCTACTTTCCAACTAACTTTATCTTTTTATATTTATCACTATTAAATACCCTACAATAAATATAAGGTCATTATCAGTAGGGGCACTTTTGAAAAAAAGCAATTATTACACCTTAAAAGATTAAAAATGTCTTATATTTTTGAACATCTAATTCTTCAAAAAATGTCTTACATTTTTTAACAAAAGAAGTAGTATATTAATAAAATATTATAAATTAATAATATTATAAATTATAATTTAATAACTGGTTAAATATAAGTAAATTTTGATTAAATTAAATATGAGTAAACTTAAAAGTATTTGTATTTACACTTATAACTATCGATTGAAGCTGTCATTAACGATTTGATTTGAAATAAAAAAATATTTTCATGATTGAACTAGATTGGACAAAAGTTAAGCCATTATTAAGCCAAAAATCAAAATTGAATTGGGAATCGAAGCGGTTTTCAGAAAACTGAATGATTTTGAATATAATATTTAAAAAATTTTAAAATTTTTAACAATAAAAAAATTTAAAAATTAAATCCTACTAAAAACCAACTTTATTTTTAAACAATTTACATGTATAAAATATAATGAGATTATTTTTTATAAAGATATCAATAATTATAAATGTAAATGCAGATACTTTTAAGTTTATCCATATCTAATTTAATTAAAATCCACTTATAATTGACAAGTTATAAAATTATAATTTGTATTTTTTTATATTCATCTTATATATAAATTTAATATTATTTTTATTTAATATTATTATAATTTTAATTTTATACATACAGTTAATATTAGTTTATTTAATATTATTACAATATTTGTATTTAATTTTATAATTTTTTAACGATGAAGGTAACATTGCTCCTTTGAAAATACTTTAAGAGCAAAATTACACCTTAACTTATAAAAAGTGAATCCCACTAGTTATAGTAATTGATGTTTTAATGACAAAGGCAACATTGCTGCGATTTAATTAGTTAAAGGGCAACATTACTACAACAAATAGTTGAGACACAACTTTCTTCTAAAAATAATTTAAGGGTAAAATTACACTTTAATTTTTTTTTTTTTTTGTCATTCTATTCTAAGTACTCATAAAACCCTATAACCCTTCTCAAAATTGATGAATTTTACAACAAATGTTAACGAATCATTTAATGCATAAAATACTTGCACAAAATGCGAGAAATTATAGTAACTTTTATAATCATGTTGGAGATTACCAAAATATAAAATGCGAGAAACTAAGTTATATCCCTCTATGATTCCATCTCTAATACAAAAAAATACTCCAGACCTATATTTTAATATTGAAGTAATCTGGGTCAAAGTGATGCAACCTTACATAACCATCTTCACCTCCACTTGAAAAGCTGCAATGAGAGAATGAGCTTGAACTCAGCATATATTAAAAGATAGTCCAACAGTAACTTAACAACAATAATAAGCCTTATTCGATTAGATAAAGTCAACTACATAAATTGCACGACACAATCCAAAAACTCAATAAATTAAGTGGACTGCAAATTAGGATATGAAATCAATGAGATCGATCTTGAACCTAGCATATGTTAAAAGATACAGTCCAACAGTAACTCAACAATAACACCAATAAACCTTATTCCATGAGATAGAGTTGGCTATATGAATGGCACAACACAATCCACAAACTCAATAAGCTAACTGGACTGCAAAATAGGATATGAAATCATAAATAACTAGAGTTTCTGTGCATCGTTGTCAGGTTTCCCAATAACTAAGAACATGACAAGTCGTTGTACATTTCAAAAGACCCATTCATATATGAAGATTAGCTGTAAAAACAGATCCGCCAACTGGTTAAAATTATATTAAAATAACCTTGCAGCTTTTGGTTTATTGGCTAAATTTTGTCTTTTGTTAATTTGGATGAACTCCGTTCAAAATGCTCAAACTCATTTAGAGAATGCTCTATCATGACCTCTATACATAATTCAGATGACTAGATGACGACAACAATGATAACAAGTCTTATGGGGTCAGCTCCATGGATAAGTAAGATAAGTAAGATGTTCAACATCATTCTCAACATCCCTTCTAATTTGTGAGGAAAACTAAATCAGAAAATGATAAAACCATTGTTTTTAAAAAACTAATGATAAAACCGTTTAGCAATAGGAAAATTAAGCAATACCAATTTCACGAATATAATCAATTTGGAGAATGGAACAGTATAGACCATTTAGCAGCAAAAAACTACGCATTGACCACGTTAATGTATGAGAATGGTTTGTATATTGTCAGGCATTTTTCAATGTCCCATCAATGACTATTTATATCTATATTTCAGGTCGCACATTTCAAGTACATGGTCATTTTTTTTATCCTCTGAATATCAAGATAAAGTAAATTTTCAGCTCTGCTACCAAATGTTGAAATAATAATAAATCAGAGACAAACGTTAAACAGCCTACTTCAAATTTGTCTACAATGATATTCATCATGTAGCAAAAGGTTGATAATCTCAGCCATTGAAAACCCACTTAATAGAGCCGCTTTAATTAAGACTATAACAACAAAAAATAACTATGATAACACAAAAGGAGAGAGTGCATGCGCGCGCACGTGAGAGAGAGAGAGAGAGAGAGAAGAGCATATACCTCTTTCCATCAGGGTTAAAGGCAAGTGCATTAATTGGTCCAAAATGTCCTTTGACACCCCCAATTTCTTCTTGAAGAATCTAAATTGAGAACAAGAAATGAGGTAAACATGCAGAACAATCTGTAACAAAACATCATAAAGAGAAATCTAAGAAGGAAAAAAGGGACAAATAAATTAACCTTATCAAAAAACTTGGCCTCAAATTTTCCAGCACGATGATCAGTAGTAGTAACAGCTGATGCGTCTTGACCACCTCCAAGCACCACCTAGAAAACAAAATACAAAACCTTCAGAAAACCATAGACAAACTGAACAAATGCATCATTCAATTAAAAACATTGAATAGGGAAAGCAAGGAAACTGGATCATTGTCATCTAACATTACCAAGTTAAATCAATTCAGGAGTCCATATATTTTGTTAGCTAGGGAACAATAGCAATATACTACAAGAAAAAGGTAATTTCTGGGGTATAAGTTTGCAACATAGAAATAAAATTGATTACATCCGTTACCAACCCAATGCCATAATATTAAACCCAAACTTTACTCCTTCAGTCAAATATACTAGAAATAAAATTACACAAAACATGAAAATATCATAACAAGCATAAATTTTAAAATAATACAACTACGTACATGATCAAGAAGAGGTGACATAGCCACTGCATTGACTGGGCGTTCTGTTACATATGTCTTGATAAGAGACAATGATCTGGTATCCCAAAGCTAAGACATCGCCAAAAAAGGAGAAAATACCAGCAAGGTCAACCAATATCATCCCAAGTTCTTCATAAAAACTTAATTTAAAAAAATTACCACTAACAGAAAAAGATAAGGAATGAATATTTTAATACCTTAGCCGATTTATCTAGGGAGCCAGTCAGGAAATGGGAACCATCTGCAGATTTTGCAAGTGATGTTATCGTCTTTTTGTGGCCAATTTCCTTGTCCACCTCCTTTAGTAGCTTTCCTGTCTGCCAAATCATGAAAGAGTCAGGATCATGAGAGAAGCAGAGTGGATGAACACAAACACTGCAAGAACTTTTGGGGCACGTATTCTCATAGAAGATAGAACAGAGAAGGAAAAGAACATCAAACTACAAGCTTCTACAGAATTCAATCTGGTATTGACAATACTATCTATGATTTCAAGATAGCAATATCACCATATATAAATATCAAGGTCACCAACCTCAGAATCCCATATACGGATCACAGCATCTTCTCCAGCACTAATAATGGTTTTGTTTAGGGGTCCCCAAATGGCTCTATTAATTCTTCCCTGAGGGCCCTTAATGACAAGTATGGATTCGCCAGTCTCTGAAAAATGGGTCATCCTTAATTACCAGATGGTACCACGATATTTAGCTGTAATACAAAGTTCACAATACACTGAATATACATAATGGAAGCCCCACGCTAGGAAGAGCATATTTTCAAATATTTGCAATATGCAACAGAAGGACAGGACAAGGAGTACATAAGATTGACTTCTCAACACTTAAATAGCTATGAATAGTCTCCAGGCAATTGACGTGATGTGCTATATAGGCTTCCTATGCGAAGAATCCGTTTCTAATCTATAATCATATCCCAATAAGGAAACATCATGCGTCACTTGACTAAATTTAAAAATACGGATGCTACAGCATCATGCTCAAACAGTGACTGAATCTTACACACAAGTATCAATCATAAGTGTCCATCAAACAGGACAACTTATTTGCTTCTTCAGGTATATACCTGAAAGAACTAGACCTGGAGAGTGGAGACTTGCCCCCAGATAGGAAAGCTCTCAAAAGTAAGGCTTTTGTCACTTAAGAAACCCAACCCTAAACTACAGATACTAGGACGAAACACTGTAAAGAAATCAACCCATAAAAACAAGGAACATAAAGATTGAGATTACGTTCACTAATGTCTCCAGCAATGCGTTTGACATGAATTGCAGAAGGCAATTCCATGAAGGGATCAGTTGTCATAACAGCAAGTTTGTCGCCCACAGCAAAATCCACAGACCGAGCAGGAGAATCAAAATTGAATGTGAACAATTGCTGCCCAGTTTGAACATTCCACAGCTTCGCCGTCTGATCCGCGCTACCCGTTAAAAGCCGCATAGAATCTCCTGCGGAGTGATGGATATTGTTAATAAAATCCGCTATCACCAAAAGGATTTCCTCAATAGCCAACCAAAAATATCAGAGAACAGCGAGAAACAAAGGAACTTGCTTGAGACATCGCAGCACCAAACAGCGCCGTTGTGTCCACGATAAGTGCCCAAGCGTTCACCGTTGTCGGCGAACCAGACAGTCGGGTTGTGATCCTTAGCACAAGAGAAAAGAAGATCGCCATCCCTGTTGTACTTGAGAAACGTCAATGGCCTCTCGTGGCCCTTCATCAAAATCGGCCTCATGGTTACGCTCTGACTTTCTTCTTTGCAAAGGACGAGAGAAGAAACCTGGCCTCTTCTGCGAGCTTCTTTCAGGAACAAAGAAGGATTTAGGGTTCAACCCTTCGACAAGCCAGAGCAGCCAACGTGTTTAGCCAATGTATAGTTCGGGTGGTTCTTCAGGCAACCCAACCCGGGAAAATAATTTTAGAAATATTTAAAAAAAAAAGAAAAATGTAATCATTTAGTACATGTAATTTTAACATAGTTATAACTCAATCTTTAAATTTTGATTTGTTATAATTTAATTTTTATAATTTTAATTCAATTTTAACTTAGTTCATGAACTTTAATTTTTATAATTTAGTTTTTATAGTTCCAATCACTTAAATATTGATGCATATAATTTAAAAAATAAAATTATAAAAATTAAAAATATTTTAAACTTTTAATATTTATAAAGATTGAAAGTGTTTAGTAATTGAAAATATTGATAATAAATTTAAATAATATAATTTTAATTTTAATATTTTTAATTTTATTTTTAAAAATATAGAGACCAATATTTAAGTGATTAAAACTATAAAAATTAAGTCACAAGAGTTAAAATTTAGGAATTGAATTATAATTGAGTCAAAATTTTAAAGACTAAGTTATAAAAACTAAAGTTTAAGGATTTTATTACAACTAAGTCAAAATTATAAAAATAAAATGATTAATTTTTCCTAAAAGGAATGAGAAAACATTTTAGGAAAATGACAATAAAATTTTTCTGAATTACATAAATGATGACTAATCCTTCAAAATATTATAATTTTAATAAAGTCTATCAAAACTTTTGTGTCAATAAATTTTAAAGTAAAAAGACCATTTTACTCTTACTAAAAATGATAAGCTTCAATCATAATTTTTATTTAAAGAATTACAACTTTTGTTTAGTAACTCATAAGATATAAATAAAAAATCACAAATTACCAAGTGTAATTTTTGTTATTGAAAACAGGTCTCAATTATAACTTTTGCTTAAGAAATAATAGCTTTTACGTGAATTGTAAGAATTGAATAAGAAATTATAATTTGTTAAGTGTAATTTCTATTATTAAAAATAAGTTCTCAAAATAACAAATTTTATTTATAACTTTTGTTTGAAAAATCATAATTTTTATTCAAAAAATATAAAAATTAAATAAGAAATTATAACTTATCAATAAGAGTAAAATAATTTTTTAAATTTAAAATTTATTAACAAAAAATTTTCTAAATACATTAATAAAATTATAGCATTTTGAGGAATTAAATTATTATTTATATAAATCAATTCTCAAAGCTTTTCTTTATCCCAAAAAAAAAATATAATCGTCCTCTTTAAGGATACAATTTATATAAAACTAATATAAAGATGAAAGTTAATCATTTTTAAAATTATGCATACTTAAAAATTATTCATTATTTTTATATATTTCTTAATTAATAAATTACTTTAAGATTTTGAAAAGGCTAATATCTTTAATCCTTTTTTTTAGCAAATCTTTTTTTAATAACACTGAATAACATTAAAAATCAACCTGCATACAACTCAAGAATTTCAACAAGAGGGGGGAGATCCCTTATCATTCTCCAACCCTTGCAAAAATGTTGAAGGATAATGAAGTATATCTTTAATTCTTTATTTTTACATGAAGTTTTATCTTGGTTCCTTGATTTTATGAAATGTTTAAATATTGTCAAAATATAAAATCAACAAATAAACGAATAAGGTTACCCTTATTAATCTATACTTATTCTAAAATCAAAGTAATTAAGGGACTAATCATAAAATGATTACCAAGTTTGTAAAATTACAAAAGTGAGAATCCCAAGTTTTTACAATTCAAAACACCATAATATACTTTGATTATTCACAAATTAGAGTTAAAAACAAATATGAAAGCATGAGATACCTTTTTATAGCAAGACATTTGAAAAAAATTGTTTTCAACAAAACAACTAAGGTGCATTATAGCATGCTACAGATGCGTTGCAGCATTGCATGAATTTGACAACATTGCTGTCATAAGACAACTTTAGAGGCAAACTTTGGATGCATCCCATTACTCCATCTAACATCCGATTGAGATGATATAGGTGTCTAAAAATAACTTTTCTTAACTTTAACTAATGACACTAATTTCACAACCAATACATTTTTCAAATAAAAATTGAACACCATTTTCAAAACACACTTCTTTTTCACAATCATACCTAATTAGTGTGCTCAAATCATAATTCAAATGCCAAGAGCCTACACCACATTCAAAGGACCGTAATAGACTCGTGCAACACACCACAACCTACTAAACACACATATATCAATTTTTTGATGCCAACCCCTTTATCACAAAAACATGAGGAGGAGTCTAATTCTCATAAATCAATATATTCATACATCACATTCATTCATTGACACAATTTCCTATTTACACTAACATTTTGACCATATTTAAACTTTACAACTACATCACATGTAACTCAAGGCATAAAATATGACTTTAAATCACTTCAATTAATGCAAATAGTTAAAATAAATCACAGAATCTCCTAATTGGAAAATTATAAAAAAGATATACATAATTAAAGTGCTATAAGTGTTGGACATAACGACTTATGACATTATATTTAGTTTAAATTTTGAGTATAACAAATATAGATGAATTAACTATACTTATACCTAATTATTTTCTCATATATATGTATATATATAGTAGTTAACCATGGCTATGGAATAAATACTTTAAAGTGTTCTTACCTATGTTGTTGCACATTACATGAGATTTGGAAGAATAACTTGTGTACATCAAAGTTATTTTATACTATCATATTTTTTTATCTTAAATTAATTATATACCCAAGAATGTTGATAGTATCATCTTTCATAACTTGAATATATATTAATACTTGGATTAATTATTTTGTTCATAATATATCATTTAAATTTGTTCAAAGTAAAGATAAAAGTGAGCATGAAGAGGAAGAAATTAAAGACATCATTAGCATGCATGCCACATATAAGATCATAGAACATAAAGAAAAGGATGATCTAAGAAGAGCTTAAGAAGAATAAAGAAATTCATACAAGCTTGGATGCATCTTGAAAGCTTTGAACTTAATAAATATAATATCACTAGGTTGGAAGTCTTTATGTTAAATTCATTAATTTAGATATGAAATTTTGGCTTGAGATATTTTAAATCAAAACATGAATTTTAGATTTTAAAAGAAAGAGTGAGATATAATTTTTTTATAATTATATTTTTCATCTTTGATCACATATATCTCATAAAGTTTGAAATGTTTTGATTATTAACTCCATAAAATTTTCAAAATTATTATATTGGCTTAAAATGAAGTTAAGTTGAAAAAGTCATGAACACTTATAGTTTAAATTTTGAAATGGCAATTGTGAAAAAAATAAGATTTAACCTTTAGTCATGTTTCTTATCATATCTCTCATTATATAGATCATTTTAATGTAAAATATATCTTATTTAAAAATAGACTCCAATAGCTTCTCAATGATAGTTTATTTATTTATTCAAAATAGAGTTCTATTAATAAATATATGAATTTTAGAAGTTGAGTGTTGAGATATTGATTTAGCACAATATTAAGAATTGACTTTCGTTCACTCTTTTGATCATATCTCAAAAGTTACATTAAATTTAAGTTTAAAACTTATTTCATTGAAAACTATACTTCAAAAGCTTCCAACAATACATACTTTGTTAGATTTAGAGTTGTATTGAGTGAGTTATAGCTTTATGAAATTATATGCTGTGGCATCTTCCAAAAGGCATGTGATTGAAACTTGCACACATGCGTGAATTATCTTGAGAAACTTTCAATGTCTAAATCACACATGAATCACTACCCATGCACACATGAAACGTTACCCAATTTCTATTAAATAGCTTTTATGGTCTAAAACACGTGTGATTCACTTCCTATACACATTTGAGATGACCTCCAAAGCCTTATTTCCTACTTAATAGCTTCTGTGGTCCAAATCAAATGTGAATCACTTCCTATCCTCACATTATTTGTCACCTATGCAATATCACATGATGTTTCAAGTGTGATTTGTCACTTATCCACATGTGATTTGTCACCATTTCTTGTAAAATGTCTATTTCACGTGTGAATGAATCTTGTTCCATAAGAGAAATGTCACCAATGGCTCTAATAATAGTGGAACGACTATAAACAGTTATATTATATATCTAACATCTATTTTACTTCATAAGTTATAAATAAAATACTCCAATCTTATTTTAACAAGTGATTAATCTAAAAAATCATCAAGCTATGAAGTTCATGTTTATATTATTCTTATTATATGAAAATCATTATTCATGAGGTAATATCATTTATATCTTCATCATTTGAGTATTAGAGCTTCATTGTATTCATCATTACTCTTAGAGAGAGTTTCAACTGAGTAATTTACATAATCAAAATCATTGTAAAAGTGAGGGAGACATTTTTTTTGTAATCAAGTAAGGTTGTTCTCTTGAAAAAAGATGCTTACTTGTAAAGTGAGTTGCTATAAAAGCTCACAAGTGCTCGAACTAAATTTATGATTGTATTAAGGTGGCAAGCACTCATTTAAGCTTGTGTTATAGTGGAGAAATCTCAAGTGATTGTTTGAGGATTGAACATAGGCTCAAGTGGTGGAGTTGAATTAATATAAATTATTGTTTACAATCTTTCTTTCTTTATCTCTTTATATTTCTAGCAATCTTAGTTTATGCTATGTTTTAGTATATAAAATTAAATTTGATATATCATATGCTTTTACTTAAACTTCTACTTAGAAATTAATTTTACACATATTGAGCTTGTAAAAATTACTTTAGCATTCTTGCAATCAGAGTTTAAAACATTAATTTACTCAAACTTTTCCTTACACACGATTTTATTGAACAAGTTTTAAAAGAACCAAAATTTTCTCAAATATTCAATTCACCCTCTTTTGGGTGTGCTACCACATCTAACAATAAAGCCTATTGTTAGAATTTATATAGAATCCTATATCTCTGGTTATTTTTCCCAATCTTGATTCGATGAGTTAGTCCTTGTAATATTAAAGAATTAAGGATAAGTACAATT